GATGGGAAAATTTAGAATAAATGATGTGCAGCAAATCCTTATTGTGCTCATAGAAAATTAAGAACAGATGAATAAAAGGGTTGGCAATAACAATAACAATAACAATCCAAGAAAGGCAGCACCTTTGCATCTTCATGGAAATGTGGGTAATTTTTGTAATTTTTTATTTCAATTTTTCTCTTTTTAGATGAGACATTGAAAACTGTTGGGACCCTTGTTAACAAATTACAATCTTTATTATTCTTGATTCATTTTATATATATATTTTTTTTTTATTTTTTTTTTTTTTTCAAGAATGAAGGATAGTTTTAGAATCTTGTGAAGTGTCATTCAGCTCTGAAAAAAGTTGGTTCCTTTATGGCAAAATCTGTGTTGGGTACCAACATGTGTCGACTCAAGCGATAATCAGCTTGATGCTGCTTAAGCAAGGTCTCGGGTTCTGAGTCCTTGTGGATGTAGAAAACTCTTGTTGGGAGACTCACCCACTACTGTCAGGTATACGACCCGGATCGACCAACGAATTAGTCGGGGCATAGGCTACAAAAAAAAATAAAAATCTGTGTTGGGTGCCCCTTTTTTGCATACTCAAGAAATGAATCCATCTTTTTTTTTTGGCCATTTTATATGCAAGTGAGCTTAGCTATTTTATTCATAATAATTTAATGTTAATGGCAGAGGAAAAAGATGGAAGCCATGGCAACAAAATCAGCAACTGCAGAGAAAACAATGACCAACAGGCGCCGGTCAGCAAGAGACCGAAAGTTGGCCTTACTAAGAGATGTATGTGTGTGTGTGTGTGTGTGTGTGTGTGTGTGTGTGTGTGTGTGTGTGTGTGTGTTTTAACTGTTGTGTTGAAAAATTTCAGGTTGATAATCTAAAGAAGAAACTGAGACATGAAGAAAATGTGCACAGAGCTTTGGAAAGAGCTTTCAATAGACCCTTAGGAGCTCTACCTCGTCTCCCTCCTTATCTCCCTAAATATGTAAGAAGCTTAAATCTTGACATATTTTAAGGTGCTTACAAACTGCTTGTTAAAATTTCTCATAAGACTTTTTTCTCCCATGAATTTTTAGTGTAATTCTCTGTTTGTTGGAGTGTGATTGTAGACACTTGAGCTTCTGGCTGAGGTGGCCGTTTTAGAAGAGGAAGTTGTGCTTCTCGAAAAACAGATTGCGAATTTCCGACAAGGTTTGTACCGAGAAGCTGCTTATATATCCTCCACAAAGAGCTCGGAAAATACGACTCCACATTCGAATAAGGAGCTATCTGTTGGAAGCTCCAAACGGGGTCACTCGAGATCCTCATCTCAAAGTGAGGTCACTTTTGGATCACTCCAAACGAGGCCTCGCCGTTCGCTTTCCCCTTCTTTTTCCAGAGTTGCCTCGATTAAGAGGATCATGTTTTCCGAGCATGTGCCCGAGACGTCTGTCGATTCTTGCAAAGATAGTAAACCAAACACCCGAAACAAATCGTTGGAAACAAAAAGTACTTGCAAAAGACATCTGTCGAAGCCTGACCTTACGCCCAAGAGTGTGAGTTCTCGAAAAATGCAGGTACTTTTTTCGTTTTCTTAGAACTTTTACTTAAAAAGCACATCTTCTCTTAGTAAGAAGTGATTTTTATTGTAGTTGAAGCAATAATTAGTTAATAATCAGGATAATATCGTGGAATGCGACTAATTTGAGATGGAACTTTTGTTTCTTGAACAAGTTACAGTAGTATTTGCCGATAACTACTATGCTGAAGTCAAATTCGGGTTGAAAGTTCTACAAGTTGTTGTTTTTGTTGACTTGTGACTTGTTGTTGTTATTGTTAGTACTTAGTACCCCTGTTATGAAAAAAATCTCTCTTGTAAAATTTAATCTAAATTAATTATTATTTTTATTTAATGACTCTACTCAATGGGACCTTTCATTAATTAAATACTCTAGTTAACATAATGACTACCTTTATGAGAAATATTTAATGAAAAAGAGTATTTTTTTGGGACCAAAAGGATCATAATAACTTTTCTCACAAATAAAAAAAGTGATAATTCCAAATGTGATGATAAATTTTGTACAGTGTAGAATTGTAGAGCAAGCACAAGAGACCTCTTTGGGTTCATTGGATAGAGTTGTTGATGCCGAATATGAGGCGAATAAATTGTCCGAGGATATCTTGAACTGCCTCATCAACATCTTCGTGAGATTGAGCTCGTCAAAAGGGAAGACTGTTGTTGATTTGGAATCCTTTTCATCTTTGGCAGCAAAATCATCAAGTGGGAATGATGAGGAATTGAACTTTCGGGATCCGTATTGCACTTTGTCCGAGTCCAAGACGAGAGACATTGGAACTTACAAGTATCTTTATGCAATAGAAGTTGGTTCGATTGACCTTAAACAGAAAACAAATGCGTCCTTTCTGATCCAGAGGCTTAAGTAAGTTGCTCATTTCTACATAAATTTATGTTCATTGCTGCTGTTTATTTTAATTTTGTTAGTTAGTATTTATCCTTTATAGTAATTAGTTTTGTTATAATATTTTTTTGTTTTCGTCAACTTTTTTCGACATTCGGAATTCAGGATTCTTTTAGACAAGCTATCGTCTGTGAGGTTAGATGGTCTAAGCCATCAACAGAAGCTTGCATTCTGGATTAACATATACAATGCCTGCATTATGAATGTAAGCCACCTCAGAATTTATTCAGTCACATGAATAATATGATTTTTTTTTTCTTAGCATGGAACCTTTGAAATTTTATCGGAATTAATTTGCTGCAATTTTTTCGGTGTATCTAATCTTCAGGCATATTTGGATCATGGAATACCCAACAGTCCTGACAAAATTGTTGTTCAGATGCAAACGGCAAGGCTTTTCATCACTCTGCATAACTATTTTTGTTCACATTGTGCTCGAATATTCTCCCATTTCACAAATTAATATATATATTAATCAATGGTCCCTGCAGGCGACAATAAACGTGGGAAAACATATGCTAAATGCAGTTATGATCGAACACCTTATCCTAAGACTTCCTTATCACTTAAAATACGTAAGTTGCCGCTTTTTTCCGTGTACATATGTTGAAATGTGTAGCTAGTTAAATTTCTCTTGCTGAAGGCATAAAAGTGCTCTCAGAAAATCTAACTGCAAACTTTTCTCATTACTTTTTTTTTTTTTTTTTTT